GACCATGGGCCCTATTGACAGGATTATCACAATCTAGCCTGCTAAACTTGTTCAAACCTAATGCCAGATACTGAGGTGAAGAACCACCCTAGAGGTGGATAGCTGCCTGTGGTAGAGCACAGAGCTGGCCTACAACTTCTCTTCCATCCGTCCTTCTGCTCCAAAATGCACTTTAGAAAAATCTAGTACTGTAAAGTTAATTTTGCTCTCCTATTGAGAATGGGATCACTTATTCTGAATTTCCAGATGTTGTTTTGGCAGTGGGACAGCCATGCTTGGCTACCAGAATTCCTTGGGTTTCTTCTTGAAAGACTTCTGTCTCTGAAACAATGTTTTCCATGCTAATAGCCTGGATGATGGTCAAAGGCTTTCCTAGCAGAGCTGGCTGAAAAGAATGCAGACTATTTAAAAGTCCATCTGAGACCATTTGCTACTTTGGCATTCTTCTATGCATGGATTATTTTTTTAACCAAATGGGAAGTCAATTTATAAAATTTTGGAGCCGTGGAGTTCTGTTTTTTTTTTTTTTACTCTGTGAATGAGTCCCTGAAGCTTTGATTATTCTGAATGGGAGTCTTCTCTGCAGAAAGGAACACTGGCTCCCACCAGTCTTTTAAACATCTTTTTCAACCCTTCTTCTGGAAGATTGCCCTCTCCTAAGTTATTTAGTCTGGCAATTCATTTTCTTTTTTGTTGTTTGTTCTTGTGTTTTGTTTTGTTTTTAAAGTGATTGACTGGGAAGAAAATGAGAGGGGGGAAGTGCAAGCTATTAATTGGCTCGTATTCTTCTGCAACTCAAATCATCAAAGATAGTGAATGTGAGGCAAAAAGTAGAGAAGATAACAGGCATGCCTGAAAAAGCTTACTTGAAAAATCAAGATCCACAAATGAACTTCCATCATGTGTGCCATTTTCTCCATGAAAGATGAGAGCTTTCAGGAAGTTTGATCTACTCTTTTTCCCAGAGGTTACCTGGATGTTGAATATTGGGGGGTTCAAGTGAAACCTAGTATTTTCACCTTATTTGTATTGGGACAGCAATAAATAGCACAGAATTCTGCAATATAATTCACTATCATCTTAAAGGGAAGCTGCTGTCACAAATTCTTTGGGGTTTTGGATCCCATTTATTAGAAGCCATAATGCTTTCTTTCCTTCTGCATCTCTGAAGGCAAAGGGCATACACTAAAAAAAATAACTAGATTCCTCCCCCCCACCTTTTTTTTTTTGTATTTACAAAGACGTTGAGAAAAAAAATCAGAAGAATAGGTATGATAAGTAAAACATTTCTTGCTGTATTCATAATTTTTTGTTGATTTTGTTTATCCTTGATTGTTATGGTAAGCATAATATTATTTTTAAAAATTCTTGAAATGTGTACTTTAAAATTGTCATGATACTGTAGTATATATGGGCATATAACGTTCAATTGCGTCACCTTGTCTTGAAGTATTTAATGTTATTTGTCAACTGTGAATTAATTATTACTGTCTTTTCAAGGACTCATTTATTCCTTTCTAGTTACACGCTGCTATAATGCAGTATTTTAAGAACATTTTTTCAGATTTTCAGGTTTTGTGAGATTCCTTGTCTTCACTGGTACTTCTTCTTGCTCATTTCCTTTTGAGTAATACTTTACAGTTCAGAATGTAACAACATTATCTAACACTGATGAGGGTTAAGAGAAAGATCTTAAAACCTGGTCTGTTGTGAGATGGCTCTTCCTCTTTCATTGAACCCTTGTCTGAGATGAAATGGCTGTGGGGCAGTTAAGGAGACATGCATGGTAGAGGAGAACCAGACTTCTTTTAAGCCTAAAGAGTGAGCAAATGCATTAAGTGCTGGTGATGCTTCTTACTAATGGATGGTTTAATGTGGGGGTTGTCTTGAAATATTTAGAATATTTGAAATATTTATTAACAACTACAGTTATTACTTTAATTTCTTATTTTCATTTCATTAACTCAAGATTATGGGATCTTCTGCCAAGTTCTTTTCCTTTTGAAATTCATAGGTATTAGCAGTGTGCTAAATTAATCTGCAAGTTTTTTACCAAAAAATTGTGATTTGCAATTGAAAAATTTCAGTCCTATTCCATGAAGTTTCTGCACTATGATATTTTATATTTCTTTTTGTTCATTTTGTATTGCATTCTATTGAATCATTGCTGTTTAACCATATCAGGTACCTATTGTTCAGGGCAGGAAGTCTGTTAAATGTTAACTTACCCAAGTCTTTAGTGTTTAACTTTTAAACTATTATGTAAATCATAAAGCAAAGAATCTGGAAAGAAACATGACTATTGTTTATCTACATTTCATATCTTCCAGTTCCTTAGGCTGTTGTCTTAAATAAGCAAATAAATAGTACTTAAATGGAGAAAACATTATTTTTAGAATGACCCAATCTCTAAATTTATTCACAGTACTTACTATACCTAGCCTGTCACATTATTTTGCCTCTCCACAAACTGAGGGCAGCACCATCAAAAACCAAAAAAGAACATGCAGTTATTTTCATATGGCTTGGATTTAATGATTTTCCATGGTCTTCCTTTCTTTTTAATTATTCCCACTTACAAAACTGGATATAGTATGTTTTTTTTCTAATGAGAGAACACTCTTCTGCTTAATGGATGCAGTTACTGCCATTTGTATTTCACCAGTTTTGATTTTTCAGAGAGAATTGGAGGAGAAGCCTAATTTTGCAAGTCTGGAGAATGCAATTATTTTTGAACATTCTGGAACAACGTGGGGTTTTTTCTGTGTTTTTACGCACAGCACTAGAAAAATGTTGGTGTTGCATAGTACCACCTTCCTGTTTGCTTGACCAGCATAAAAAGTGTTCAGGTGGTTGAAAAAAAACCTTCAGGTTGAAAAGCTATCTTGGTTGATGGGTTATTAAAAGATGATTCTAAGATACGAATATGCTAATACCAGAACTTTTGCTCTAGCTTTCTGTTTTCGTCTTGTTTATTCTTCCTCCTTGTGTGTGGCTTCATTTATTTATGGGGTTTTCCTTACTGTTCTTTGGTTTCAGATGCGAGTGTCTCTCTGATCTTTGTGGTTTCCCCATGTGCGAGGCAGGCTCCGTTCCCCAGATAGTCTCGCGTGGAGATGGAACACCTGGCAAGTGCTGTGATGTCTTTGAATGTGTCAATGGTACGTGAAGCTTTCTCTTGCACCTAGGGAGGAGGATTTTATCTGTCTATGGGAGATGCTGGGCATTTGGTTATTTTTACCCTGTTGTCAAGATCTAAGAGAAATAATTTTCTTGAGCTTTGTTCAGTAGGAGGAAATTGGAAGTTCTGCTGAAGATACTTAAGCGGGAAATTGTCATTGGCAAGTTGTCATGTTTCTTTAATTTCAAATGTAGTTTTCCCTGTGATCCAGGGAATTACAGTTTTAGCAAGACTCCCTCGCTGTGTGTTTTTCAGGTACTGCTTTGCCAGTAGCTAACAGTAGACTCCTTTTAGAAGTGAAATTTTTGTGAACCTTTGGAACTGCGGGTTGCAGCACTGTAAACAAAAGGATGCTGTTTAGACTATGGGTTTGCTTTAAGAAGCTTTGGCAAAGTTACTTTTAATGCAGTTGTACAACCTTTGGAAAATGTAAGTCAGTATAAGAGTAGACTGATTTGCAATCTTTGCTTCCTTATTTAAAGGCTTAGAAAATGCTTGAAAAATCAAAATTTTCATACAAGTAACCATATCTCATGATTGCACCATGAGAGATATATATATGTATATAACAGCATATATGCTGTATATGGTGAGTTTGGAAGACACTTTGATATTTGATTGTTGGTAGATAAAAGGGGGAAAATAGTCTTGAAGAGTTGCATGCATACACAACATATAAGCATGAAAATGTATATGTTGGTGTAGTTTTATCAATTAATATTTATCCAACAATATTTAATATTGTTTAGTGGTACTTGTATCATAATATTTGAAACAGCTTTTATTTTCCATTCTTCATTGCATATGCACAAAAACACACATAGAGAGACACTGTCCCAGGAGAATGTTTGTGATACTTACACATAGCAGTATTTTAAATGCTCAAATGCTGATTCAAAAAATAATACTTAGTACATATAGTGGCAGGTTGTATGTAAAAATTATTTCATATGAATAAAAAAAATTGTATCAGGAAGAATCACAGATTCTTTAGTGAAACAATTTATCTGAAAGCTATTTGAAATAAGATTGTAGATGATGTAGAATTCAATGCAATTTACCTGATTTTTGTTTATATACTTACTGGCTGTTATACTGAGGTAATATTAATCTTCCTTTGTCTCATATTTATATAATTCTGTCAAACTGTCATCTCTGAATTTGGTTTGACTGTGTTGTACATCTTAATGCAATGTTTGATTCAGGATTTGCCTTAGTATTTTGAGCAAGAAATGCAAAACCAATTTCTGATATGTCGTCTTTGCTGGTGTGAAACAGTGAATGAATCTCAAAGGTACGAACCACCTTGCTGACATTCCTGTTTCTCTTTAATTTCGAAGTTGTGTCAAAATTGTTGCAGTATATATCATATCAGGTGTTAAATGGAGCAGTTAAAATTGCTCACTTTTTTTTTTTCTCCCTAGTCATTTTCATATCCTGTTTCCAAGGAGGAGTTATATTAATTTCTAATTGTTAAGAGTGAATTCGGACCGTCTTAGCATTGTTGCCCTGTGCATCATTCCCTTATTAATTACACTGTAACTCCCTCCAAGGGTTCAGCCTCCTTTTGGGTCAGGATTTCTTTTTGCCTCTCAGGCTTTCCAATTGCTAATCTTCCACTTAGTAGCCTATGAAGACACAGAACGTGGAAGTAAAAACAGGAAGTTTTGAAGGGAAGTTGATGCCACAGAGGGAGGCAAAAAGGCCAGATTGAAGAAAAATGAAGGTTTGTAGGAATAGGTAATATTTCTTAAACAAGAAAAGGCAAACTTAAAACATCAGTCCTTAAAGCATCAGTATTAAAATATTAAAATTATTTTGTGATAAGTTCCTCTATAAAAAGAAATAATTCTAAGAAACCGGTCAGAAAAGTTAAACATTTATGGGTTCTTTTTAAAAGGATATTTGTCTTTATGCAACTTAATGCTACAGTAATGTTTTAAAAAATAATACTGTGTGATGTGACTTGAAACCACTTTAGGTGTATTTAGAAGTGAGAAACTTCCAGGTGCAGTTATTAGTGATGCCTCATTTTGGGAAGAAAATGTTATAAGCATGAAATTATAAATATTTTTTATCAATGAGGTGGGAGCAACCATGAAAACTACTCATGAGGAGTTCTGAATATAACGTTTGGATTGTGTGACAGATGACTGGTAAAGATGACAGAATAGTCATAGAACTTTATCTTCATTGCTTTATAGTTTGGGTTTTTTCAAGTGCATTTTAGGATGGCTAGGTGGTTCTTGTTACAGGAACAAATATTGCAAGCCACAATTCTGAAAACTCTGAATTCCTTGGAATCCTAATCTGACAAGAACTGACTGGATAGAGGTGTAGTGCAATGACAAACCACTAGATAAAGAAATAAATCAATAAAATCCCCATCATTACATCTGTCAATTTCAAATGTAGAGGACAAGGGATTGTTGTGAGATTGATAGGTGAATATAATATCCAGTTCTGTTTTTTAAAAGGGTCCTGAAATACTAACAAGGGCAGAAAGGATGTAGTAGATAGCAGTGACAGATGGAGAAAATATCTTACAGTGATATTCTTAGATCAATTTCTTCACTTGATTGAAAAAAATTGTGATCAAAAGTAACAAGAGCCAAATCTATAATATCTAGGACATGCTGTTCTCAGCAGTGAGGGTGGTTAGCTGTTGGAACAAACTGCCAGAAAAATGCTGAATTCCTTATAGTCATCCTTTCCAATTAGGATTAAAGAGTGTGTTTTAATCAAATGCAAGTTAATAGGTTTATAGATGTTAAGTGGGAAAGTTGTGTAATCAGTGTTACCAACGAGTTCCATTACTTCTCTGTTTGAAAACCTCTGAAAACAGGCAAGAAGATGAAATAGAAAGGGCATGTGCTCAGTCATATTAACATAAATTTTCCAGCTGTTATAACATCTATTTAATGTTAGAATTAAATCTGTTGGTCAGAGTGAGGTGGGGCAAAGGAGTTAGAAAAAAGCAGTCAGGATGCATACTGATCATCTGAGTTACCTTAAAAACAAAGCATCCAGTATGAGGAAGTATATATAGACTGTAAAAAAACTCATTTGTGTATTGTGGGATAACTAAATTTTATATTTAGGTATCCTTAATGACATTCAGAGTGTTAAAGCAAGCCTGTCTTCTGCAGTATTTATTGCATGTGCTACTGTGAGAGGTGCAGAGTTGTATGTTCAGGGCAATATGGAGAGGCTGCCTTTACTGTGTAGGAAAGAGGTTTGCTCTTGTTGCAGAACAGCATTGTCCAACGTTGAGGGAGTAGTTAAGGAATAAGGGCAGCAAAATATGTGTCATGTAGATACTCTGCAGAATGTTCTCTTTGTTATTTGTCATCATTTTGGGGACAGATCAGTCATTCTTTCAGAACCACTTTTCCCAGATTTAGTATAAAACTGATTTAGAAGCTCTGCAGTATGTCTGTAGGTTTTGTGGGGTTGTCTTTGTTACCAATACAGAGTCTCAAACTAGCTTTTTCAGAAAAGCATATTAATCTGCAATGAAAGAAACTTCTACAGTGATTGCTCTTTGCAGATAGTGGAGTCATCGTTGTTCTTGTTGGATTCTAAATACAGCAATGAGTCAGTAGTTTAATGCTTCATTACTTTCATACTTCAGATTTATATTGGGTGTGTCCTTATGCTTCCCATCGTGTAATCTGTGGTTTCCCATATTTTGTTATACAGTTATAGAGACTTTATTTATCACCAAGATAACATTAATTCCTGCTTGGAAATGGTCCTGGTGTTTTCATTGGAGCTTGTTGTTAAGTAGCTACTGTCCGTAGCTGATATGTCCATCTTTGTATAGATTGAGCTTCTTTTTGGATTTTTCTTTATACAGGAAATAATGTAGAAAGTGCTGAGAACAGCTTCCTGTTTGGTGACAAGAAAAAAGTGTATTACAGAGCCGATGCTCTTAGTAGTTCTGGGTGAAGTTTTAATCATGAATATATGCAGAGACCAGAGTATTTTAAGTAAAATGGTTGCACTACCTGGATACATAAATTTGTGCCTTTTAAAACACTGCTGCAGTTAAAATAATTTGTAATTACATTAAATCTTGTTAGAATGTGGTGCTTGTCCCAAAGGCCAGTCAATTATAAAGGTCAATTTTAAGGCATGTATTTATTCCATTATTTTGAAGGAAAGCATCTTTGTAAATAAAATCCTTCTGTATTGTTTAAATGGTAGTGGGAATCAAGCCAATGTTCCCTCTTGACACATTATTCCCCTGTCTAGATTTAGAAGATGGCTGGCTGGCTATTTCTCCTAATCTTCCTTTCTTGATGACCCTCAGGGCAAACTCCGGGTTGTTCATGTAACAACATGATTTTTAGCCTGAGAGAGAAGCATGAATTGCTAAATTCAAATCTCTGGCTGCCATAAAATAGTACAATTAGTGGTATAGCTGGTACAGCTGTACACAGCACTGTTTGTTGCACATGGGAATTGAAGATTAATATAGGGGGGTTCAGAAGTGAAGTTTTCAGGGAAGAACTAAATCCATAGTCAAATATGCTCATTTGTCAGATGTGCCTGAGAAATGTGAGGTAGATACTGAGAAAATAAGGCAACATGGGAAATCTGTAGCAAATAATTTCTTCTTAATGAAATTTTTGCCTGTTGTGTGCTTCCAGTGCATTGTAACAGAGTATGTTTCAGTGAAAGGAAGAGTGAATATTGCTTTTTTTGAAAGGTATGTTATTCCAATTGCCATGAAGTTGCACTCCTTGCACTTACCTGAAATCTGCTTTCCTTCTAGAGAATACTAGGTAGTATATGATATGAATTTGGGGAAAATTCAACAAGACATTCCCAAGAGCTGTTCTTCCCAAAATCCTGCATTTTACAGAAATTAATTCAAGGTTTCCATTGATCCACCCAAAATATATTACTCACCAGGATTTTTGTCTACAAAACCTGCTGTGCTGCCTTTTCTCAGGGGAGAGCTTGTAAAGAAAAAAAAACAACAAAACGATTCAACATTAAATTACAAGCATCAGCAAGTGAACCTGAAGAGACTGAAGGCTGCACATGCAGCAGTGTTTGGAAACAAGAGAGTATCCAAACTTGCCTCTTCTCTAATTAGAAGTTGATGTGTGGATCTCCTGAATGCATGTTGTGCTAAGGCACATATACTGACTGCGAGCTGTGCCTTAGAAATTTGAGAGTGCAATTACCAAGCATCCTGCAGCTGCTTACTTCTGTCAGTTGGGGCTTCCACTTTTTAACAGACCACAGGTGCCATAAAATAATGCCTCTTTGCTCGAAGCTGTGCAATTACGTATAAACACAAATTTAAATATTTGCGCTTATTTACAAATAATAGTTACAGGTTGTGTTCATTCTAAGGTGTTTCTGGATGACTGTTCTAGAAGATGTAAAACCAAAGGACTTTCAAAGGGTTCTGCAGTTGTGTTAATAGGGAATACACTGCACTAAGCACTACAGCCTGAAGAGTAGGGACCCATTTTTATTTTTTTTCCCCCCCTACTTATATTGTTTTTATATATTTGCAAGGAACCAAAGCATAATTTGTTGTCCTTTAACATTGTTATGGGCTAATTCCAGTCAAACGTCCCCTTCTCTTTTTTTAAGTTCCCTATCAGCGCAGCTTTTGAAAAACAGCTTTTCTGTATTTTGTTTATATAGACACAGGAATCAAGTTTATCAGTTTCCTTCCCTTTCATTTAATTGAAAGTTCACAGCACTTGCTCCAGTTCTGTCCAAGAGTCTGGTACAAATCCTTCCGTACACTGAAGGAATGTCCAAAGTGCTGGAATCAAGAACCTTTTAATCCCTGAAACAACAGAAAATTGTTTTGATTCTTGCTTCCACTTTGGGAGGGCTGGAATTTCTGATACTGCAACAGAAAGTGCCCAAACTTGCCTACAGACAGCTGATGCCTGAAGCATCTCATACACTGTAGGCAGAATTGCTGCTTCACAAGGGGTGGATTGCCAGACTTGCACATGCTTCTTAGCTGTTCCATGACTCTAATCAAAGAAAACCACCTGTACTGAGAAACTACAGAAGTCTCAATAATAGAAGTTTTATTTTGGACTAGTTCAGCCAGTAGAAGTGTATTTAATTAGATTTAAAAGTATAAGGTAAAAAACCTTAGAAAACTGATTTGTTAGAACATATTGTCTTTGCAGTTTGGTTTGGAGATAAAGATCTGGAGAAATACAGTTTGTCTCTGTGTAGTGTGAGGCTGTGTGGCTCACTGCAACATTGACTTTAGGGCTCTTGCTGCCAGAACAAATAGGCAGTGGCTGTGAGATCTGTAGTGCTAAATCTGTGCCAGAACTGTTCTTCATTTTACTCTGTGGCAGGAGCTTTAATGCTAAATCAAGTCCATAGTCATGCTTAACTTTATATAGGAGCAGAGATGTGGTATCATCTGTCCTTCCACAGCCAGTATGAACTCTGTATTGTTCTGGGTACTGTGCACTCCATCTTTGCTCCTTTAACAAATGGGCAGTTCCACGTCTGCGCTTGGCCTGGATCAATCTTGTATTATTGGGTTACCTGATAGCTGGCAGGTACTGAATTTGTGTTTACAAATCTCATGCCCATCATTTTGTTGTGGTAATCTGCATCATAAAAGGAGCATGGGATTCTGAATGCCTTTAAGCACTTTGTACTATGAAGTTCAGTCAATTTAAATTACTTTGTCACACAGCAAAGCTTTCTTTATTGGCAGAATAATAAATTAATGGTTACTGGCCTTCAGGAAAAGGTGCATTTATTTAATGTTAGCTTGATGTTCTTTCACTCCTTTGTGGATGCCATACATAGATCAATAAGGCAATAAAATTAGCACTTTTTTTAAAAAGAGAGAACTGAGAGAATCTTCCAGCATATCATGGTGAAAGAAATACATTATTAGAGCTCCATGGTGTCATTCTTGCTCTTTCACTAGGCTTCCACTTCATAAGTATCTAAAGCTAGAGTTCTTCATTTAATGCTTGTTTTGGCTTGACTGAGTCTTTATGACTGCAGTCTTACATGTGGTTGTAACAAAAGCAGTCCTTGTCTCATGGCTGCATGTATAGGCTTGGGTCAATAGTTTAGTCTGAATGTATACACTGCCATAAATCTGGAGAGTAAAAATACACATATAGTGATATTCTGTGGGGGTTTTCATTGTTGGAATAAAACATACTGTTTCTTTTCAGGATTTACAATCCCTTGTTTGGTCTTGTTTGGACATTTAAAAAATGAATGATAATTCATGGAATATGATGTTTCTACTCCTAACTAGGCAGGAATTCAGATTTACTGTTTGGAGAGGAGGGGTAAATCAGTAAAAATCCAGGAAGCTGCAATCAAAACAGTCAAGTCGGAAGGAAATTGATTAAAGGCGTTTTGAGTTGTGGTGTCATGTTTTTTTCTTTTTGAGGAGCTTTGTAGACAAACAGCTAGAGCTACATAAACTTGAAATATTTCTCAAGTGTTTGTTTATGTGAATTGCTTTCTAGTGAGGTCATGGCTGTTTTCCGGGACACAGTGGTATTTCCTCCTTTTGCTGTTTGGGGTTTTTTTTGTTGTGTTTTTTATATGCTGCTTTCTACATTATGCCTAGCATACAGAACAGGAGTATGCAAATCAAACATTGGCCAAGATACTTCCAAGTTTCAGCTTTAAGGCTTTACAGTCATATTTAATAACTTGCAGCTGGAGCTCAATATATGCTTATTTGGAAAGAAATACTAGAGTCCCTGAAATGATTTAGAGTTTTAAAGAAAACCTGTGTCATCATCATGAGTAATTGAGATGAAAAGTTCTTATCCCCCAAAAGTAAGATTATTTGGGTTGGTGGAACCTGAGAATTCTGAATTTTCATTTAAACATTTTTCATCTCCCATGTGAAATTGAGTAGGCCCAGTTTTCAGCCCTCTGTGGCTAGGCATTGAACACGTACATAAATAAATAGTCTTTTCCTAGTATTCTACAGAAATCAGCAATATAGGCAGTTGTCTTTTATTTCCTCTGCTATGTTTAGTTCAGATGTAATGAAATTTGATGGTTTATCTATAGCTTGGTAATGTTTTTAATTTTTACCTTGTTGAAATAAATAGCTTCCTGTTTTCAGAACATTTAGCTTTTGAGACTGCTAGATTTGTAGCTCTGAAATAATGTATCTCTTTACTAGATAGTTAAAAATAGCTACCTGAAGTAAAACGGTATCGTGGGCTAGTGTCATAGAAGGCCAAAAAGTCTATCCTGAAGTGGGTAAGTGGGAGGAGGCTTACGTCATTGAGTAATGTAATGACAAAACAGTGAAGTAATGGCTTCCCAATGACTAATATGTTATATTTTAGATTAACATACATGTTGTGTAGGTCTGCTTCATAATCTGGATCCAAGCCTCTTCAATATAAAAAAAATTATAACAACTTCTAAAAAGTGGTTAAATATTTTTTCTTTTCTATTTTTTTTTATCTTAATGAGGGAAATACTAATGTCCTTCCCAAAATACTTGGGAATTTTCAGAGATTTTTAGTTTCCCACAAAATTTGGATTTAATTATATGTTGTTAGGGCTCTGCTGTAGATGGGGGTGTACAAGAAATAGTCTTGTGTTTTAGAAACACTAAACAGATCACATAAATATTTATTAGAGTTGAGGTTATTTTCTATGGGCAGTGCAGATGTGAGCTGACTAGTACAACTCCAGGTTGCTTGAACTTAGAAGTAGTCAGTTCTGCATAACAGATTGCACAGTCACAAAATATGTTTGTTGGGAATTTTTTTAAAGATATCCCTATGGGCCAGACAGCTTTAGTGTAATTTATCCACCTGTGTACAGAGTACTGCAGAAAGGAAGATTGCTCTTAAGAAACATCAAAAATTGTCGTCTTAAAACAGAAACATTTATTACTTCATGTCCTGAAACTTGAAGCAGCTTCTAGCTCATCCAGAGTGAGAAGTATTTAACATCAGTGAGCAAATACGAATGCCTTAGCCTTTTTTCATTATTTTTATGCTTTTAATTGTAAATAATTGCTCTGAAAGTAATTTTGAATAACATTTTATTTTGTCCAGTTTTTGAAGCAGACATTAAAATAGACCATGTTCCTTAAAAAAAAATGTATTTTAGTTTTTAAAAAAATGAAATAAAGATCAGCCATCTCTTTTAAATCTGTTTCTGTGAGTAGCAGCACAAGTTTAACTCCTTCCCATTTATCAATATCTGTAAAATACCTTTTTTTCTTTTTCCTCCTTCTTCTTTCAGAAGTGAAGCCAACTTGTATATTTAACAGCATGGAGTATCATGATGGAGACATGTTCCGAATGGATGCTTGTCGATTTTGTCGATGCCAAGGTGGAGTCTCTATTTGTTTCTCTGCCCAGTGTGGTGAGCTACACTGCGACAGGTACTATGTGCCAGAAGGAGAGTGCTGCCCTGTGTGTGAAGGTACCATATCTTTTTCATCCGGGTTGCTTATTACTCCCACTGCTTTTCTCCATTTGTCTTTTCAATGCAAATGAGAAAACAAGTGCTTTATTTTATTTGCAGATTCCTCCTTAATTCAAATCATTTCTACAATTCAGCTGTGTCTGGGTATCTTGGTTTTTGTAGTGCTTCTTTGATGCTGACACTGCCTTTTGACCTGTTTGGGTTTCCTCTTTCC